TGTGCCTGATCATGGACGGAAAGAGAATTTTATGAGCAGCTGTCTCTACCATACTTTCTCATAGACCATTAATGCTGAGATAATATCTTCTATTTCTTTTTAGAAGGAAATTTAAGATCCATAGTAATTTGGAAGTTTTTTTCTTTGAAGTTTATGTTCGGTCAGAGTTTTGTTTTTCAAAAAGGAGGTTTGATTCAACTTTGAATTTCGGTTAAGAACAAAACAAAACATAAAGTGTAGTATCCTGTTCCCCATTCAAAAGGTTTTTTTGGTAAAGAGCCTCTTGGTATAACTTTTACTTGAGCGGTTTAAGGAGCCACTAAGGAATTATATCTAGACCAAGACAAGGCCTTTGAAAGGTCTTATGAATGTGCTTATGTCTATTAAGAGAAAAATAGCGACCAACTTCAGAAAGGACATCAAAGCAACTCTGAGGTTAAAAGAATGTGAAAACAGGCTGTCCAAGTTCAAATCTTACGTCTTCTAGTTGCTAGCTGAATATCCTTGGCTGAGTTATTAACCCTCTCTGTGTTTCACCTACGTCTGTCAAATGGACGTGATTGCAATACCTACGTCATAGGGTTATTATGTAGATTAAACGTTAATAATATGATGTGCTTACCACTGCTCTGGCAGTAAGTACTCAATAAACATTTGTAATTATCTTTAGTAATATTTATCACCTGCTCTCTAGAAACTTTTAGAATCTTCTTCCTCTATCCTTTGAAATGTGTTTGTGTTATAGAGACATTTTTCCCCCTAGGTTTCTATTCCATATGCCCACTGTCTTCTGCCTTTATGAACCTCAGTACCACCTGAAGCCCAAGCCACTTTTCAAGGCCCTACTTCCTGTGGTAACTCCCCTTGACCTCACTGAGAGGCAGGGGCCACCAGCTCCTGGCCCCAGAGGCTTCTCTCCCATCTGCGTTGTGCGGAATGAATTTCACGGATATGGGTGGCATTCTCCTCCTGCCTCCTTCACCAACAGTCCCAGCGACTCCAGAAGCACACACAGCTTTAAGGCCTGAGTTCACCCCCCTTTATCTTACTTAAGCTTGCCCAGGGTCTCACTGCAAAACTTTCCGCTCCTTCTCTGCCACCAGTTATCCTCAAAAGAGACCATTAGGAGGACTGGGGAGATTGCGCAGTCAGTTAAATGCTTGTTATGCAAAGTAGGAAGGCCCAGGCAAAGTAGGTGATCCCAGGCACCCAAGTACAAGTCAGGCATGGCTGTAACTCCTGCGCTGGGAGGGTGAGGGTGGGGGTGGAGGCAAGAGATCCCTGGAGCTCACTGGCCAGCCAGGCTAGCCGGATCAATAACCACCAGGTTCAGTGACCCTGTCTCGATAAATAAGATGGGAAGCAGTAGAGGAAGACAACTAATATTCACTTCTGGTCTATCACACACACCTGCACACGTGCTCACAGACACACGCCCGCATGTTCACAGATGCATGCCCGCGTGTCCACAGACGCATGCCCGCGTGTCCACAGATACATGCCCACGCCCCACATGGATGTGTCACACACAGAGAAAAGACAATTAGATTATATATAAACAAATCCTGACTTTTTTCTAAACTGAATTCACAAATTTGCAAATGAAGCAATATTACAAGGAAATTTCATGTTTGTCTGGGACTGGGGGTGGGGGTGGAGCCGAAAGGCATATCCTAAGAACTTTTAGACAATGTTTTGTAACCACCTAAATCAGCGCCTATTTGTTGAGTTTCTACTAGCTAGAAACCCTGGAGAGGTGAGTGGCGGTGGGGAAGAGGAAAGGCCTCCCAGTTATGGCCAATAACAGCTGGAAGCATGTACCTGTACACAGTGGCCCTAAAACAAGGAGATTTTGTAAGTTGCCCCAGGCAACAAGCACGATCTCATTTTCTCTCCTCCAAGAACCTAGAAGCGTGTCCGCCCTTAGCAGGTGCCCAGCAGTGCCTCCCTCAGACCCCGGGGAATTCTACACTTGACCTGCTCTAGAGGGTGCTGTGTGTGGTAAATTTGGAAAAGCAAATTTATTAAAGGCCACCTGGTCATTTGGTGCTGTCACATGGTGGTGGCTCAGCATAACCTAGCACCCTAAGCATATTCCCCCATAAGCCCCCAGGGAAATGTTCCTTCACATGCTTGCCTACGGCTTGAAGAAACCAAGGCTCGCAGATGATCTGCCGCTGATGCTGAAGAACATCAGCTGTAATCTATCAGGTGGTGGGGGGGGTCACTGGTTGTAGTGTTTAGTAGGAAAATAAATGAATAATCTATTAACTTGCCAAATCCATCTCTTAAAATAGCAAAAACCTGGCAGATTCTGGAATAACAGCATGGGACATCCTAGTCACCTGAGGATCTGAACTCTTGCTTCTCTCTGCAGCCCATTCAGTGAGTTCCCAAACTAGTCACACATCAGCAATATTCACATCTCTACAGAAATGCTAAAGAATGGAGTTGGAGAGATGACAGGGGGATGGGGGCATGAGGGGTTCCTACAGGAGACTTGGACTCAATTCCCTGTACCTGCCACAAGGCAGCCTACAACCATCTATAACTCCAGTTCTCGGAGATCTACTACCCTCTTCTGGTTTCCACAAGCATTGCACACATAGGGTGCATATACACACAGTCAAAACACCCATACACATAAAATACAAATAAATCTTTTAAAAGACACTAAAGATCATTTTTAATATTGAGACATATATACATAAATCTATATTTGTGCAATTAAAACATGAAGCTTGTTGCTATTCTATACATTGTTAACTATGTTACTATGAATTGGTGGAATTACAGTTATATTCTAATAAAATATTTAATAGCATTCGACTTTCAAGAAGTTTTAGTACAAGCTCATTTAAATAATTATTATTCAAATTGTTACTATCCATGAACTTTGCATTTTAAACTTATTTTTGCCTTTTAAAAATAATATAATAAAATTCATTTACGTTAAATTTAAAAATAAGACCAATACTTCATTGAATTATTTTAATGGATTTAACATAAGTTATGTGAAATGTAATTAGAATTTTTAAAAAATCAATCTTCAGCATCATTACATAAAACTGGGCAGGGTGGGATGCACATGTAATGCCTCTAAGCACTAGGGAGGCGGAAAGAAGATTGCCCCAAGTTTGAGAATATCCTGGCTACGTAGTAGTGAGTTAGAGATCAACCATGGCTCTATAGCAAAACTCTGCCTCAGAAAGCTAAACAATTTTCATCCTAAAAGTTCTAAAATTATGTATGACTTTACTCCTCTATCAGCCCTGTCAATCGAAAACCCGCACATATGCCACTAAATACAACCATCTCTGGTGCTTTGTCACGCCAAAGTGCTTTGAATGTAATTGGTTCACATAATCTCACAGGGAGGGCCACTATTAGGAGGTGTGGACTTCTTAGAGTAGGTGTGGTCTTCTTGGAGGAAGTGTGTCATTGTGGGGCGGGGCGTTGAGGTCTCATATGTGCTCAAGATACTGCCCAGTGGTATCACACCTCTTCCTGTTGCCTGCAAGATGTAGGACTCTCAGCAGTTCCTCCAGCCCCACGTCTGCCTGCATGCTGCCATGCTCCCTGCCGTGATGATAATGGATTAAATCTCTGAAACTGTGAGCCACCACCTCAATTAAATGTTTTCCTTTATAAAAGTCACCGTACTCATAGTGTCTCTTCACAGCCATAGAAATAAGACACCAGTCGTATCAAACCGAAAGTTGCACACACAGTTCAATTTTGTATTTATAGAAAATATTCTGTCCGGGCAGGAGCCTCCAGAATGCATTTACTGTTGATTCATACATTACCTCGGAAGGATGCTGGTATGCATAGATACTTGCAAAGTAAATTCTTCTAAATGGGAATATTTTCTTCCCCATATTTTATGACAATCATAACCACGATTGATTTGACAGACGTCTTCCATGCCTTGCCCACATTTGCTCTTTGAAGCACTTATTAGTTCCATTTTCATCGACAGTTTTCATTTTCCCTTCACACTCATATTTTATCGCTCTAATAATAATCAATTGAATGACATCTCATTAAATTTCACAAGAGCGTTTGTAATAGGTGTAGTCAGGTTCGACAACTTCACTGTGTTTTCACGGGCCCTGCATCTCACCTACTGTGAGCAGAAGTGTGCAAGGACACTTCTAGCACGGGCCATGAGTCTCCACTGAGCTGTCATTTCCCTCAGCGTGCTGCGTGGCACACCACCGCACCAGGAGCAGCTAGTGTGTGCACTATCGTGTGGACACTCATTAGGAGATTTGCTACTGTAATCTCACCTACAGTGCCCATACATAACTTAAATCATCTGGAATCACATGGGTAATAGTGTCTGGGGAATAAAAACATGAAGGAAACAAGGTCTAGCTTCACGTCTCTAGCAAGGATCCCAAATAAATATTTGTTAGCATGATAAAACGCCAGCTTCCATCTTATTCTCAAGGTTGCATTCTTTAAAAAAAATAAATAAATAAACTCTTATTTTAACTTGTGTATGTATGTGTGCGCGTGCGTGCGCGTGTATATGTTGTCTGTGTCGGTGCCCAAGAAAGCCAGAGAGGGTGTCGGGTCTCCTGGAGCTGGAGTTATAGGCGGTTGTGAACTGGGTGCTGGGAACCAAGCTTGGGGCTTCTGGGAGGACAGCAAGCACCTTGTTTAGCAGGAGCCATCTCTCCGGCCGCTCATTCTTGCTCTGAACTATCTTCTTCATATGGGGATCTCACAAGCAGAGCTTTGATGTGAGCATGTTTACATACCCCTGGATCTGAAAACATGCCAGTCAGCTTGACAGATACCCACCAATAAAAACATTTGCAGATGAAAATGTTTTATTCTGTGAAAACAATCAATGCCGCCCCCCGAGAGGAATAAAAAGTCTGGCTTGTGCAAAAGAGCTGCTGAGTAAATACGAGCCGCATGGCAGACAAGCGGAAATAGTCTGCGAGCATACACAGCTTTTCATTTTCATGCCCTGATATTTACGCGCAATGAGGAAATGCCCCGGGTTTATCCTCCAAATGAACTTGGTGTGGCAGCTCGAGTGTGACTTGGGCCATTCCCGGCAGCCTGCTGTGGGAGCGGTGACCTGGAAAGTTCGGTGTAAAAGTTACTGAAACTGTCAGTGTACAGGAAATCACTGCGAAGTTTAAGTCCAAGTGAGACTGGAAATCAAGAGGTTGGAAACCATAGCTGGGAGAAAAGTGGGGGAAATGGAGTCAAATTAATGCAATGTGGAGCCTGCAGCAGCCTGCCATCTGACGTGCCTCTGTGCAGGAACACATGGAAGGATCCAAACAGCTCCAAAGACCAGGGTAGAGGTGGGGGTAGTCTGTGTGTGTGTGGCGGTGGCGGTGGTGGTGGGAGACACACTTGATCACGCTTAAGACTCACAAAGTTGGGTAGGAACCTATCCACTTAACTGCTTTCAAAGAAGATTTTTTTTAATTAACATATAGTAGGGGTAATACTTCCTTAGTCAATCTGGTCTCTTCACTATTTATCTCTGAAGGAAATCTGTGAGTCCATTCATAGATGCGTATGGCAGCCAGAATATGTCCATGAAAGATGAAAGGAAATGGGATTCAAAACACCAGGAACGGAGGGGAAAACAGCACTTCAATTTCTTTATCGAGTTACGTGGTGTGTGGAGGTCAGAGAACTGTAATTAATCCATTGGGCTTCATTTGATGCCCCTTATTTTTGCACAGTTCAGCCACTGTACAAATAAAGAGGAAGGGGCCGAAGAGATGGCTCAGCAGTTAAGAGAATGGGCAGCTCTTCCAGAGGACCTGGGTTCAATTCCCAGCATCCACATGACAGCTCACAACTGTCTGTAACTCCAGTTCCAGGACACCTGACACCTTCAGACATACATACATGCAGGCAAAACACCAATGCACATGAAATAAAATAAATAACTTATTTTTTTAAAAAAAGATAAAGAGGTAAAAGTGACCTTTTCCTGCTGTTTTACTTTGCTACTCGGGCCAAATTTTCAAAACTGGTCCAAAGATGGATTAAAGGTGTGTGCCACCACAGCCTGGCCTCTTGTGGCTTAGCTCTGCACTCTGATCTTCAGGCAAACGATATTTGTTAAAACATAAACAAAATATCACTACACAGAGGCTAAAGGCCTGCACTGACTTTTCTCAGTAACAGGTACCTAACTACGAGTGTGCCAATTTAAAGTTTATTTTAGATCTCAGTAGAAACCGGGAAAGCTAATCCTTTTCAATGTAGGATTTGGTGGGTGTGGCCATCTAGGAAGACCTGGGAAATAACTACTGTTTGGTTTGGATGTTATGCTTGTCTACCATTAAAAGAGCATATAATTATAGCCTAAATGTAGACCTGGATCTTGAACAGACTAATATAAACTTTCAAAACTTGTACCTTTTAATGTAACCACTGAAAACTACAGTATACCAGATGTTATAGTACTGTTGAAAACATTGAGCGTAAGCCAAAGTCAGGACCCTTTAAAAAGCCCTTTTGTGTCATCTTGCTCTACAGCTAGCATCATGCACTCAAGCGGGTGGGGGAGACTTCAAATTTAAATGAATTATTTTATAGATAGCTCAGGCTTTTGTCTAAAGGCAGGAGAGCTCTCTCCTTTCTCTCCGAGAGAAACCCTTCTTACCCCTCCCCCACTCCTCATAACTTAATGCTTCAGAAAATAAATCCAGAGATGTGAGTTCTGAGAGATTGCCTATTCTAGACAAAGTAGAGGAAAACAAGGGGAGAAGAGAGATAGCAGCTCTATCCCGTAAAAAATCACTATCACGTACACACTTTGTGTGTGTGTGTTTATCCCCAGCACCTTCTCTGGAAAGGCAGTGGAAAGGCGAAGGACACCGCTTAGGACAACCTGGGAGCGGCGGGGGGTGGGGGACCCGGGAACCCGGTCTGTCACCTGACTGCCAGGAAGACGGACGTGCAGCGGGGAGCATCGAGGGTGGCGGGCGGGGGAAGACGACAGGCTGGTAGAAGATGGCAAGATCCAGCGCTTCCTGGCACAGCGCTGGCTCCTTCCCCAGACGTGCTCTCCCGCTTTCGGTCGGAGCCTGCCGTTCCAAGACTGGGGAGTAACCCCTGGCAGAGACCCGGGTTGGTCCCTCTACGTAGCCGGTGGGAGGGGGAAGGGTGTCCCAAACCAGCGGTTTCGGCTGTGCACAAGGTAGTACAGGAAATCTTAAGTTGTGTTATTTGTGGCACGAGGGCGGGACAAGAGGTCTGCTTTGCTAACAGAAGCCTTTCGCGTCCCTCCGGTTGAACGACGGCCTATCTTAGGCGGCCGGCGACAGTCCCGGGCGCCACCTGCGCGTCGGGCGCGGGCCGGATCGGTGCGAGCGGGCGGGACCACCCGCTCGCTACGAAGCGCGTGCAGTGACCGACTGTGAGTCCTCCCGCTCGCGTCCCCTGCCAGCGCCACCGACTCAATCCCCAGGGACTGCCTGCACAAGGGTGGGCGAGCTCCCGCCGAGCCGCGACCCC